GAAATGAAATCTAATAAAATTCTCCATAAACGGTATATACATACATCACTTATCGATAGCCCGATATTTTCTGGGGAATTAATTAATCATTTCTGACACCTCCCAGCATAAAACACGAAGTTAAAATTGGATCAAATTAGGCGATGGGAATCGCTTACCAGTTCGCTTCAAGAAGGCATTATTTTAACATGATCATGTCATTGGCGGTAAGCCCTTACCCGCAGCATTACCTTCGAATGAAGGGAGAACGCATGGATAAACAGACTCCAGAGAAACGAACAAAGAATGCCTTGCGGAGAAACTACAATAGAAAGCCTAGATATATTAAATTTAAAACAGAAAATACAGATTAAAATTTTTATAAAATAATTTTTATATATACATATGTACTAGAGATGTTGCGGATGTGGAATTTTAACATCCGCGGATGCGCATGCGAATGCGGATGACAAGTATTTAAAAAAAAAAACAATTAGAATGTAGCATAATAGTACTTCTAGTACTAGTACTTCACTTCATTGACTGACTGACTTCAACTTCGGTGTAAATTAAACAAAGCAAAACGTGATGGAAAGAAGAAAGTACAGAAAGTAACGGTAGAAAAGAATTTCAGCTGACTATGGTGAAGCATTCTACTTAGCATTCCCCGTAATGAATAAAAGCAGCGAAATTAATAAAATATTGTAGAACATTCTGCTATGCATTACCGGCAATGCCTAAAAGAAGCGAAAAAATTAGAAGACATTATAAGGCAATCCGTTGTAGAACCACCACGTTACCACTAAAAGCGATTACCGTTTTTTTGCTGGGGCTCTTGCTTTCGAAGCGAACACTCTACTAAATCAGGTGCACGTGGCGTATGAGTAATACTCTTTTCTGCTCATATTTCATACAAAAAAATCCTTGCGCATTTTCATTTGACCAGTCGGTTATTTTTTATCAATTGATATTTTTTTTCTGCAAGGTATGTACATGTGGGGTATTCCACCGTTACGGGTGGCACATTTGTGCAGTAAAAAATTTTCTTTATTTTTTAAATTTAAGTATAAAGTACTCAACAATTCTACATTTTGATAAAGCTACACCTGATTCACTTTTATATAGTTATTACCAAAAAAATCGGAGTTTTTTCTACCAAAAACTACAACAAAAACTATTGCTTTATTATAAAAAAGAAATCCGAAATTCCTCTGTCACGACTGGGATACGTAGGAATTTTTTAGTTGGAAAGGACCTTTTAGTGTGGTCCATTTTAAAGATTAGTTATTAAAAAAATTAAGAAGCCAAGACAGGTTCAACTAACTGACTTTTATCTTAGGATAGTCATATTAAAACTCACGATATACTGCAGCACTCAAAATTGGTTTTAGAGGACAATTATGACACCCATACAAATGTATAAAAAAAATGTGTGAGAGCATGAACCGCCGGATGCGCGGTGCATCCGATTGCAATGAAATATGGGTTATATGCTCCGAGTATGACTATAGAGCAAAACTGAATACATGGTAGTTTTTGTTAAATATTTGCAAGGTTTTTAAGTTAAATTGTTTTTTGTTAATTCGGATAAAAAATACAGATCATGCTTTAACCAAAACAATATAAATCAAACTTTCAATCTTTATACAGAGCTAAGAAAAACTCAAACAATGTTCATGAAAATTTTTAAGTGTTTCCATTGGTTTATTCTCAGATACGATCCCACAGAGCGAGACCGTGCTTTGGAAGAAACATACTGTTACGATTATCCTTGACTACTTGACGGATTTACCAAAATGCCTACGGTTCATATCGCTGGATCGTTAAATAAACGCTCAAGATGACAGTACAATTAACATTTTAAACTCATAAGAATTAGACAGATAATGACGATTCTACCGCCAACGTGTAGCTTAAAAAAAACTAAATGCGAATTAACATGTAAACATGCATTTTTATATGTAGTTTTTTTTTACGAGGAGGAAGCATTTGGACTTTAACCCAAACTAATCTTCCTACTGTCTAAGTAGCGATCCCCCGACACCATCGTCAAGTATTTCGTCGGGAAGCGGTTTAAGCACTACGCTCGCCACGTTCGTTTCAGTCGGCTGTACTCATGCCTGGGCTACACCTAGTACGTTTTGTCACGTCTTATTATAAGAGAAAGGCCTTTTCAGACTATTTATTTATCTCTTAGGTACAAATACAACTTATAGTTTCGCACTTATCAACAGCAAGAACAAATAATTTAAAATTATGGCATGCCTTATAGCTACGGTGACCATATTGCTGTGAACAAAAATCGGGACATTTCTGAAGCATCATAAAATTTTAATATACAGTTTTATTTAAAACCAAAAAAAAGAGAGAAAAAACTTGAAAAATTATCGCAAAAATGTATACATACAATATATACATCTTATGTTTTCCATATCCATGAATTTTTGGGGAAATTAGTATTATTTTTTATAAAACCAAATTCAGGTTAGTATCGTTTGATTTAAGAAAATAACAAACTTAAAAAATAATTATAAAAACCCTAAAAAAAAAGAAGACTGATTGACTGAAATATATCGTGAGAACATGGAAAATAAGAATGCTGGGTATATTTAAGGCTCCCTTATACTCTATGTTTTTTGTGATAACGAAAGTGCTGCCACCAGTGTTGCCTGCCGTTGTGCGATTAAAGGGGCACTTTCACCCTTTTTAAGCACCAATACCCTTTGACCCAATTTTTTGAAAGTTGCGATGTTTTGACCCTTTTCCAAAATTATGTGCGACGCTTGTCCCTTCTCAGGCATTTTTTTAACTAAATGTTAAAAGAACCATGCTAATAAAAAATATTTTTTACTGTAAGTACGAAAAAGTGATTTAAAACTTTTAAAGGAAATGCAAACCGATTTCTGTGTATGTTTGCAAATCTGTTGTTTGTAAAGCTAGTCCCGCTGTTCTACTTTATAATAAAATAAATTTGATTTTGACTTTCGTTTTCAGATTTATTCTTTTACTAGTAAAGAAAAGCAAAAATAATATGGCGCCCTTTTTCGTCATTTACCCCTTTTTGCGACTTTGTGAAAATTCTCGACGGCAACACTGGCTGCCCGGTTTGTCAGAAAAATGGTTTTAAGGCCAGAGTACAGGGAGACTCCTATACAATTAATAAAAAACCCTGATTAATCTTTACTTCCTATTTACTTTTTTAATTTATTAAAATATTGATGTTACTTACATTTATTTCGTCCAATTTATTTTGTTATGATTTTATGATAGGAAATGAGTTCCGGATTTTATCTACACAAGTCGTAAAAATTGGTATTCCCACTTTTATTTGAAAATTTTCAAGCTAATTCCGCAGACTGAAAATATTGTCGCAGAGAACCAGGATTTTTTTCAAAGAATAAAGGATTAAAATATCACCTGTTAAGACCTATACAATTTTCGTGTCAAACATTTTGTGTGCGTACATATATCGATTATACCACCACTGCAAAAAGTCGATTATACCACCACTGCAAAATATATGTATAGAATGAAATGATAAAAAATTTTATTTTAAAGGATTGCTGCTTGATCCAGTAGAGAGGGTCGGCATGGAAACTAGTCCTTTCCATTCGCCCTACAGTACGGCTCAAGATCTAGATCCT